TTTTTATGTTCGAAAGTTCATGAACTATGGGATACCTAGAATAGTAATCGGACATGACCATGAAATTTTTCTCATTAAGTGAGAACAAGTCACACCCTGCAATTTGAAACGGATAGTCTGGGATTTCAGAGCTGATTAATGGCTCCTTCTGTTGCGATGACCTGTATTCCAGACAAATCTGACATTGATTTACCATTTCAATTATATCATTTGAAATTCCCGGCCAAAACATTATTGACCTTGCTCTACTAAGACATTTTTGCGCACCCAGATGACTTGAATGCAGCACCTTTAACATTTCAGATCTGAGTGACCTGGGCATAACGATTTTTTTCTCCTTCATTATTAAACCATTAACCTCAGATAACTCATCCCTATAGTTCCAAAAGGCAGCAATTAACTGATGACAAGCCTTTTTGTACTTAGGCCAACCAAACTTTATTGTTTGTTGTAATGTACATAATTGTTCATCTTGTTTTGTGTGTAACCTGATTTCCTCAAGTTTTCTATCTGACACGGGTAAAGATGAGATAACCATGCAAACGTGTGCCTCAATACCCTCATTCAGTTCTGGACTTGTTTCCGGACTGGCGTTTCTGCTAAGTCCATCTGCTAATGGGATTTTCTTACCGGACATGTGACGAAACTGAAACCTATATGGAGTTAATTTCAAGACTAAACGCTGCAACCTAGCAGGTATTGAATGCATAGGCTTTTTCAGCAATCCCTGTATAGGGAGATGGTCATTTTCTACAATGACATCACGGCCATAGCAGTACTGATGAAATTTCGTAAATCCAAAGACAATAGATAATAATTCTTTAGAAATTTGACCCATATTTCTCTGTGATTCAATTAAGCTACGGGACGCAAATGCTATGGGACGTTTTTCCTGAAGGATTACTGCCCCTAAAGATTTTGAAGAAGAATCAACTTGTAATGTCAAGGATTTGTTTGGGTCATAATAAGCTAAACATGTGTCATTACAAATGACTTCTTTCATTTTTTCAAAGGAATTACTTTGAGGCTTTTGCCACGTGAATATAGTGTCCTTATGCAATAACTCTCTCATAGGAGCGGTAATCTCTGATGAATTGTCAGAGACATAACGACTGAGATAATTAACCATGCCTAATACCACCTGTAGTTCACTTTTTGATGTGGGTGGTCTCATATCCTTAATTGCCTCAATTTTGGCGGGATCGGCCTTTAAGCCTTCTGCAGTTAACACGTGACCAAAATAACTAATCTCGGTGAGACCTACTTCCAACTTTCTGGAATTGAAACGAATGCCTTTGTTTAAAGCACGTTCAAGGACAGCTACTAAATTTCGGTCATAACTTTCCCTCGTGGAACCCCATACACAAATATATTTTAATATCATCAACAATTGTAGCTACCCCTTCGAGACCTATCAGTGCCTCTTCAAGGGCGCGAACCAAAAAATCACCTTACGTTTAATCCGTATGGACATCGAAGATACCTGAAGACCCCCAATGGACTGTTAAATGCAGTCAAATATGACGACTCTTCAGATAATTGTATTGACCAGTAAGCACTAGTTAAGTCCAATTTAGTGAAATACTTTGCATTACCAAACTTATGTAAATCGTCATCAAGTGTTTTGAGCGGTTAGGGTTTGCGCTAAATTGCACTGTTAAGCGAACGAGGGTCTAAACAAAGACGTATATCGCCATTACTTTTTTCAGTAACAACTAAATTATTACACCATTCAGTGGGTGTTGAAATCTTAGCAATTACTCCCATTTTTTCCATTACATTGTAAGTTCCTGTTTCACTTTATCTTGTAAAGCAACTGGAATCCTACGGGGAGGATGAACAACTGGTGTAGCATTTGGGTTAACATGAATGTTACATTCCCCAGGGAGTAACCCTATGCCATCAAAAACCTGGGCATAATCCGTCAAAAGGGACTCTTTAGTAAGAAATGCCTCTTTATTTCTATGATTATAATCATTTTGTACAGAATGAGCAAATTCTATGAGCTTAAAGCCCAAGGACGACTCGCAACCTAATAGTGGTGGGGATTTCGTGTCTACGACATGAAACGTGACATTTTTTGCTTGACCCGGAACAGCATGAGAACAAGGGAGAGTGATTTGCCCTTTGCTATGCAAGGATTTGCCATTGTAGGCGGTCAATTTAGATGTGGGCTTTTCAAGTGGTGCCTTGATTCCTAAACCTTGAAAGGTAGATAATGGCAAAATGTTTACCTGAGAGCCAGTGTCTAACTTCATTTGCACAGCCTTTTTACTATTTCCAATTAATATTTCTGTAAACATCTGCCCATTTTTTACTGTTACACAGTCAAGACTGGCCACATTTTCTACACAGTCAATGTATAATTCAGAACTTAAATTTGAAATTTCATTCACTGTTCTAGATTTACAAACATTGCTCCAGTGGTTCCATTTTTTACAATTGTTACATTGTGTGCCTTTTGCTGGACAACGCTGCTTGTCAGTATGTTGATTTCCACATCTGTTACATTTTGTACTGTGTGACCGTTCTCCAGTGCGACCTGGATTGCTTGATGTTTCTGTATATCGACCTGGATTCATCGATGAAGGGTTCCGAGACGAACGACCTTGGATGCCCGATGAACGGCTAGGCATCCGTCCCTTCGGTCTTGATAATGCATGTACCGGAGCACTTTCTTGGACGTTATTGAACATTTTTATTTGAGATGCAGCATATTCAAATTCCTGGCAAATTTTTGTTGCCTTGTCTAATTTCAGATCTTTCCCTACTTGCAAAAGCCTTTCTCTCAATTTCGTGGATAACACACCAAATATTATTCTATCTCTGATCATGTCATCTTTCATTGTTCCAAAATCACACTCTGCAGCCTTGTTTTTTATTATTGTGATGAATTGTTCCATAGTTTTTTCGCCTTGTGTGATATTATTGAATTGATAGCGGCTAAATACTGGGTTAATTATGGGAGCGATGTGTTCTCGGACTTTTTGGAAGATCTTTTTTGTTTCTTTTCTATCTGCATTAGATAAATTGGCGGCTCTATATATTTCTCTTCCCTTGGCACCCATATAAAGCAACAGCATTGTAACATGGACATCTTCTTCTAGCTCTTTCAAGGGTCCTTTAAATACTAATTCACAGTGCTCTTGAAATTTTAAATTCTTCTACAAGATTGGTTGATGTCCAGTCCATTTGAGGTTGCGGGATACCACTTAAATTCATTATTTTATAATATTCCAGCACTTAAGGAAATGTTAATGTAATATTCCAACAAGAAGGAATTATAGTTTATGTCTGTCCTTTTTTTTAAGAATGTTTATTGCACATTTATTAATATTCCGTCATTAGGAATGATTTTCCTTTTTATATAATATTCTTTCCTTAGGAATTATAATTATACTATTTAAAATATTCCGTCTTTAAGAATTATTATCTTTCCAGTTCTGACACCATGTTACGTCATGGGTTTATGAACGACATAAATATATATGTGCTCTAACTACATTTATTATCTAAACTATATTCTATGATACATGTGTTTACATATCAGTGTATACGATGGTAGTATTTTAAGATCTAGGGAACTCTCTCTTATAAAGGAGCTGTACGCACCTAGAGTATCATGTTACAGTTTACTCATCATGCTACATATAGTACTATGCCTGAACCGGTTTTTAAGAATAATACTAAGAAAAAAACGCACCCACGTACGCACACGCACGCACGCAATGGCGCACACACAAACATAACAACAACAACAACAACAACAACAAACAACAAAAAAACCACCACAAATAACGCAGGGCTAATGATTACTTTAATCTTTGTTTTAAACACCTTCAGAAACCCGTGGACTTCATTTAAACCTCTCTCCGGACTGGGGATTTAAATGCCGTCTTGTCCACATAAACCCTCTATCATTATCAATTCAGATATTGACACAAAGGGTCAGAGAAAAAGAGATATTTTACAAAAATAAACTTGTACTTTGTTGAAAGATCGATGATTTCGTAAATGTAAAACTCGGCAATATTCCATTTGTACTTTGTTAACTTTTATATTGACAGTTAGCGTGGTTAATGGTTAAATTTGGAATATTTTTACGTTTCGCATATGCAACAACTGTTGGGCACATTCACGATGACGACGATGTGTCTGCTCACCTACTCTCTTCAACTTACGATCTAAATATTTAGAAACCAAGTTCTTAAATAACCAACAAATATACACTATGGAACCCTATGGTTTGATAAAGGCAAGGGCACTCGGTTTCGCATATGCTACAACTGTTAGGTACATTCATGACGGCGACGCTGTGTCTACATGCTCACATACTTTCTTTAATAAACGATCTAGATATTTAGAAAGCAAGTTCTAAAATCACCGGGAATCATTCCTAAACAAATTCACATTATGGAACCCTATGGTTTTATATAGGCAACCGCGCTTTATGCTGTTTGAACTAAACAAAGCAATATTTTTAAAATAATATATGTAGATAGATTAATCTCTTCACAAATATAGCATATTATACTCGTACGTGATACAAGAAACTGGAAACATTGAAAGCTCCTGATTTCCTTTTATGTTAAGTCTATATGTTAAGTACTGTTATAGTCTTTCATATTCAATTCAATTCAATTCAATTCTTTATTGTGTTACGGCCACCGGTCCTTACACAAACAGAAAACATTACAAAATATCAATGTAGATATATTATATTCTTATATGAAACATTTTACATAAAATTTGTTTTTACTCTTATTTAGCTAACTTACAAAATTGAATGAGATAACTGAACAGACATTTGAAAACGAAACAAAGCAAAACATTTCCTTTTTCATAGGAGAAATAATCAACAGAATGTTGGTACAATAAATTTTTGCACTAAGTATAACTTCATGAATCTAACCGGTGGAACAATTTGTAGAATTTCTTAAAATAATACTGTCTTCAGTTACGTTTGCTCATTGACACTTTAATTGCTAACGAGGTTCAATCAAAGCGTGGTTTTCGCTAGTTGGAAACATTATTATTGCAGGAGTTATTTCGTGGACGTCTGAGAACCAGGAACAAAGTACGACCGGATATGTTCGTGTCCGTGTCTGGCACCCGAATGATTTGCCGTCTCCATCTTATACAACCACTCTAAATATGAAAGCCGGAAACACTAGTATGTACATAAGTTCACTTTATGATTTAAATGGTTTACACCCTTTACTCTATTTAATGACAAGCTTCAATTGTTTTAAACATCAAATGAATTAAGGAAATATGCTTAAATTGCCAAAAATTGTTAAACATGCTTTTTAATCATGGACAGTTCGGAATATTCAATTTATAAACATTACTTTAACAGATTGGAATGATTATGAGGAACGCTCTCACGGCCTTGGTTCGATACCCGTATTAACCATTGTGCAGTATACCCCGGCATGGACTGTGCCACTAACTGGATGGGTTTCGGAAGGAACAGGTATTTGATTACATTTCAATGGTATCCAAGAAAATGTAGAGGCACTCTATACAAAAAAGATACTTATGTTGAGGTCGATATATGTTGTTTTTTTGCCGGACGAACAATCCGATCTTCCAATATAAATCATAATAGATCAAATATTATACATTTAGCCTCGTTTTCATTTCATAGTTTTTATTTTCCAAATCAGATCCGTCTTGTCTCCAATCTGACCTCGTTTACGTTTATTTAGTCAAAAAAATCCACATTAATTCCATATTGTACTCCGTCTTTGTCTCGTTTTCATATAATACTGATAGTGATGGACACTTATAGAGCTGCAACGCCTTGTCCAATATAGGCTGAACAGCTGCGTACTATTGCAACAAAATAGAATAGTCAGTCATTAATAAAAAGTTCATAACCTCATGATATTGACCGAAACAGCAAAATCATTTACCAGCAGCTATAACAGGGTATGTGTTTATCTTATAAAGGATTTAATTTACCGTCATAATTTTAAAATTACTACTTACATATTAAAATAAGACTTTGTACTTATATTTAAAGACTTGTTAAATAATCGATCGTTAAGGTGGCCCGGACAGCGCTTCGTAGAAATCTGACACAGTTAATAAATGGGCGACACAGGGCATATGAACTGGTCTGTATGAACAACCAGCTTAATTAAGAAAAATAATTGCAGTGTACTTGTAAAGAAGAAGAAACAACAACAACCCCCCCCCCCAAAAAAAAAAACAAAAAAAAAACTACACACAACTAAATGTTACAATTATGATTTGATCTAGGTTCGAGTTCACGGCCAATAAATAACGCAAATCTTTACTGGGGAGGATTAGTATACGGTGTGGACAGTCAAGATATAAGATTGTGGGCTCCATCTTATGGCCAGGCGAATTATGGTAAAGTACCGATATCTTTCATTATTCAATTTAATAAAGAACTTTATTTTTTAAATATGAAATATTTCGCTTGGATTCCTTCATTTATAGAACAACTAGCTGATCGTGGATATAGTAGCTTAAAAGTTTTGTTGTATACATGTATTTTGATATTGTTACTATTAAGTTAGTTCTGAAATCTACATGTTTTATCCAGATCTATTTAACGGTCTCAAAAAGGCACACTTCTGATTCACGAAAATATTGATCACTCGTAGACTATTTTTTCTGTCAGGAATTTTTTAGATTTTACAATTCCGATTCAAGAATGCCGGTTTATCACTTTTAGATTATCATTTTCTTTCAGGAATATTTAGTTTTTGTGACGGTTGGGGTTACGATGTACGGGGAAGCGACTGTACATACATCCGGGCATCTATAACTATATACATGTGGACTGACCTGTCGGCTGCCGAGGTATACAGCCACACGGAATTGCATCAAATAGGAGAGACAAGTGGTGTGCACGAGCTTTCCTTGTTTCCAAGTTACTCTGTAGACGCTGATAATGATATAATTACGGTGTCCGTGAGTACTAGTAACATTTCTTTTCTGATTTTAAGATACATTACGCACCGGTTTTAAAATCTTGAAATATATTTAAAATCAATCAAAGATATGAAAAGCTTTTCTTTCAACTAATTTTAGTTGTCTTTATATCTCAAAATATCATCTATACACGTTAATCAAATTTTAAATTATTATTATATATGACCAACCCCCTCCCCTTAACAACAAATTATAAATTAAGTTTACAAAAGTATGTAAACATTGACGGGCGTAAAATCTTGCTTTTAAATGAAATTGAATTTATTGTTGATATTTGACAAAAATGATGGATATAATTGATAAAATAAAACTTATAGATCTTAGCGCCATTTATACCCTCGGCCATGAAACTCAGTTGGTCGTGCAACCCAGTTGGTCGTGTAACTCGTACGGTCGTTCAACTCATTTGGTCGACAAGACATGTGTTATTCTCTTTTTTAGGCTTTGACAACATATGGTTCAAACAATGGATTTCAGTTCTACGGTACTGGTGCTGCAATGGTAGATAACGCAGACGGATGTGGTGGTATTGTGTACGCATACACAAACGTCACTTCCGCTTTAAGGATTTGGCATCCGGTAGGTGGAAGTAATAATTTAATTCATGTAGACGGTATGGGCGGAGGAACATATAACCAGGTAGCAGACATAGCTGATATAACTCTGCGACTTTTTAAAGGTAGATATAAAAAATGTTTTTCTTTAACCGTATTAAATATTATACAATATGAATATCACAGACACTTGGGGGTGTGGGTGTGCTTTGACTGTGCCCCACCTTACTCTTGTCGACTCCAAGAAACTTTTATATTGTGACACCAATGCGGTATGTGTCAATAATAAAATTTGTGGTAATTAATTTCTCCAGATCAGCCAAAATATTCAAGACAATCAAACTAGAGAAAATGAACAAAGGTTTAAAGGTTTAAAGAAAAGGAAAAATACTCAAGATTTAAATAGCATGTTAATTGCGATTAATGAATAATTTTACAGTAATTATTACGTGCCTTACGCAATAAGAGCTATTTTTGCATATTTTGGCCTCTTTTTTGGTACTTTTCGTGGTGGATTGTAAGTGCCGTTAGCAATGTGCAAATTATTTTTCTTGTTCACTTCACAAATTTTATCTTTAAATACATTTTCAAAATTTTCATGAGAATTAGCATGCATGTGGAGACATGCTGCTTTAAGTATTCACAAAAAGTATGCGTAGTCAGGCCTGATATGACTGCTTAGCTTTCGACCTGTACTCACAGAGTTATCTTTAATTCTACTTCAGTATTCCAATCTGTTATAAACTATTGCTCATTTGCTACTGAAGAACCCGGGATAAACACGATTACGACGTTGACGTCATTAGCAGACTGTTGCCAGGCAACGTACGCGTGCATTCCTGGATATAGTCTTATTTCCGGAAATCTTCAGCGTTTTTACGATTACTCTTTGAACACATGGAATGGAACTTCACCGGAATGTCAAGGTAAAATTAGAAATATTCTATCTAGAGCTATCATAAGGTAGATTTTATCGTCATTGGAAACACCTGAGTTAATTCTGTTCTTTCTTTTCGTCTCTACATAAACATAAAAAATTACTGTACTGATAAAGGGGAGTAACCGCTACGAGGAGTCTGACAGTCTTACTTTAGGCATATACTTATCAAGGAAAAAAATCGAAAGCAGATCTAATCTAACTTAAGTTAATATGAACGTAGTTAATATTTGTTAAATTTGACAATTACAATTTTGGCAATTTGTAAAAATGTTGACAGTGGTTACGTCCCTTGATCAGTAAGAATAGAGATGGATAGACTCCGTGTAGCGGTTACTTCCCTTTATCAGTTTAGGAATAATGAAGGGGAGAGTACTGTCCGGAGATTGGGAAATCGCTAACAAACTGACTATCCTTTTATGATAAAGATCCAAGTAGCCTTTTTGTCATAACACTCTTTCGAATTCAATTCAGGCAATATTTGTACGGATAATGCTCTTGCTTTATTAATATTGTTTAAATACACATGCGATGTCATCTCACTTTGCAGAGAGCATATGTCTGATTTAGCAGACGACCCCTTCATTTATCTTATGAAATTTATTATGAATTGCTACCAGAATATGCTTTAATTATATCATTTTTTTATTTTCAAGTTGCAACTAGTTCTGTTAACATGTGTTCGTCAATTGATGGTGGAATAAATACAGATGTTAACCTGACGTCAACAAACTCGGGTTGCCTAGCAGCGTATACATGTCTACCGGGATACAGTTTAGTGTCTGGCGATTTGTTTCGATCTTATGACTCTTTACAAAGCGCATGGAATGGTACCGCACCAGAGTGCCATGGTATGAACTACTTTTTTTGCAGTTAGAAAACCGTTTGTTTTATTAGTACTCTAAGAGTAATTCCTTTTAGACATCTAAAGCAATGATGAAACCGCGGCTTTTATGGGTTCTAGATAGCTCTTTACTACTGTAATGCTGTTCTGAAAGGGGCGTTTAGAACACCAGCATATTTTCGGGAGTATTGCAAAGAAGAAATCTTTAAACTGGCCCAGAGAATTTTCTTAAACTTAAGCATAAATAAGGAAACCATGTTTAAAACAAGTCAATTTAAAAATTGGTGTTCACCATCCTACTTTTCTATCTATCTTCTGTTAATGTCAAACGCCTTTTTGAGCTATCTTTTCGCAAGTGTGTTTTTGTTTGCTCTGTGTAAAAAATTATCCAAGAAATGTCTTTCACAGGAACTGAGTGGCAGCTGTGGCTAAATATATTTTAAGAACACTACACTCGTTACCATCTTTGTAATAAATTATATATAAATACTAAATATAAGAAAATGTCTAAATCATATAGCGACTGTGTTAAAAGATCTCTCCCACTAAATATATTGCATGTAATAACCTGATCTAATTGTTTATTCCAAGTGTTGTGTTCAAATCCGACCAGTGGGACTAACTCTATGTACGTTCTTTCATCAAGCCAGCTGTGGATCGGTACATTAGCTACATATACATGCACTAGTACGTACGTTTACGAAGCCGGGGACTACAGTCGGGTATGTTATGGGAGCGGTTCATGGACTGGTTTCCCGTTAAACTGTTCAGGTGAGAATTTGTTGTGTTTACTGTATACCAGTCAGCATCCATCTTGAACCTTAAAGAAAATATTCACATTTCTTTTTGTAAATGGAAAGAAAATAAAACACATTTTAATGAAATTTACCACACCACCGGACACACTTTAAGCCTCCTTTTATTTAAAAAAAAAAACGCTCAATAAACATAAAATAAATTATTTTTCAGTTAAATCAGGTTATTTTCATCAACTTTTTAATTCTTCCAATCGTACACCGGTGGCAAACTTCCGACACAAAAGTTAATTTAAACCGGCCAGAACACATGTTTCTGTAATCCTCTCCTTCGAAAAATCTTCATGATAATAATAAAAAAGAAAGGACCCTACTTCATAATCTGATTCCTTGATAAGTGCCCTTCATACTGCGGATAGGGTCAATGAAAGAAATTCTAGACCACAAATATATATCAATTAGAAATGGCTCTGGTCGCTTTTCAAATGTCAGTTTGATTCCCTTTTACAAGAATCGGTTGTTATACATATGAAATACAACATTAACGATAATCGTGTCTTATATATTCAAGCACCTGTAACAACTACAACAATTCTGCCACCCTCCACAACAAGCACCGGAAGTGTGTGTTTTAATTTTAGCACGGTGGTTAACATTACAACAGTATTACGTATTGCTGATGAAATTGTTGCAAATTTGACAGTACCAACAAAAACAACGTCGAAATATACGAGAAGCTTGACTAGTGCTAAAGATGGACGACAATCTTCCACGGTGATTGGTCTGGCCGGCGCAGGAATATGTGCAGTTATAATGGGCCTACTTCTTGTTCCAGATGCATTGACAGTTTTATCATTTCTTGTAAATAAAATATGTTCCAAACGAGATATAGCAGATTAAAGTATTTCTTACCGAATTCGGTCATAGTAACATGGTTTTTATCTCATGACGTCTTTTGTTTTCAATGTAATATCACCAATGCACATTTATTTTTCTTACAAATGTCAAAAGTACTTCTTATTTTACGGGAATAAATATGATTTACAGTTAAATCAAATTCATATTGCATAGTATCTTTAACCCGTATAAAGTTTTTGGAATAAATTTATTATTTTACGGTCATTCATGAAAACCGTGTTTGGCTGTACTTCGTTTGTGAGAAAATGGTGCAATTAGTGTAATGCTTTCCGGTATATATGATCTTCATTTGTTTATTTTATCATTCAAATAACTAACGATCATTGTAATCAAACTGGAACATAAACGCATTCAACATATTTCGACATTAATGTGTGCTTTTTATAATAAAATCTTGTACTATTTATTAAGCTGTTATTCGGTTAAGTGTAGCCTTGGAAATCCTATGTGTAGATGGCGTAGCTCTGAACACGCCTGAGGGCATGTCCGTCGCAATTGTAAGTTTTAATCGCCGTTCCTGGACGGCGATTTATACAATTGACAAGAGCCTTTAGCTAATCAAAATCACATGATAACAAAATGGACTTAAAATACTTCAATGTGGAATCATGCTTAATTATTAATGCTAAGGAAAATAAGATATGTAAACATCTTTATAAAACAATGTTGTCTTTGTTCTCTAGGAATATTGTTAATTCTAGATGGATAAATTTTGTGAAAGAAACACTTAGTAATCTTGGCATGTCAGAATATTTTCATTTACAGAAGGTAGATAATATTAATCACTTTCAAAATATTGTGAAGTTTAGACTACAAGATCAATTTTTACAAGATTGGCATAGTACTATTGATACATCTTTTAAGTGTTTAGTGTATTGTACATATAGAAATACTCATTGTTTTGAAAAATATCTAGAGTACTCCCTTTTGACATAGGCAAATATTTATGTAAATTTAGAACAAATAATCACCTATTACCAATTGTAAAAGGGAGACATTCGCCAATTGATCATAATAATAGGCCCTGATCCTTATGTCCGTATCAAGCTATTGGTGATGCATTTCACTACTTATTTGAATGTTTGTACTTTAATGACATAAGACGTAAATCACTTCTTCCCAGGTTTTATATTCATCCCAATATTTTTAAACTTGACATATTAATGAATAGTTGTGAAAAAAAGATTTTACTAAAGTTATCTTTATTTTGTAAAAACATTATGTTAAAATTTAAATAATTAATACTTCTCATTCCCCGTCCCATTGTTACGATGTAAAATACATGTTGTATTGAATTCAATACTTGAATTGAACAATATGATCTCCTTTTTGTTTATTAAGCTAGTCATAATTGTATTCTTATTGTGATATTAGTGATTTTTGACTGTTACTTTTCTGTCTGTTTGTTTGTTATAACCAGTTGCATACTATATGCCTCGGTTTAATAAAAACTGAAACCTTTTACCCCATTAGCATATTGCGAAAAATGGCCGTTTTCATTGAAAAGCCTCCTGTAACAAGTTCAAACTCCTATGAAACTATGAAAAATGCTTCAATACTGATGAAACTTGGCACAAATGTTTACTAGACCATAGCCTCTGTAACAGCTTGCTCAAATGTAAATTTCCTGTCACCATGGCAACGGGGGACGTCTCAAAATTGCCAAAAATCACTACATTGCATTGTTTTTTTCAATCAAAACGGATTTCAAATGGTGCAACTTCTCAATGAATTGAGATAGAGGCTTTCAGCGTCGGTTACTAGTTACCCTAAGGTCGACCTGAGACCATTTTTAGCCTGTCACATTTCCAAATTTTCTTGGCGATGAGGGGGACTGCCGCTCCCTTAAAACCCCCCAAACAGCACATCCCCCCTTCTGGCAACCCCCTGATGTAACATTTGGATGGGGGGGGGGGGCGGCGCCCAAAAAGTGGTCACTTCTTTTAACAACATTTCTAAAACGAAAAACGGTGTTTGGGGCCTAAATAGGGCATTTTTTCACTGTTTGAGGCTTAAGAAGGGCGGGGGGACAAAAAGCAGTCAAATCACGTCTATATGAGGGAAAAGGTAAAATTGACTCGCACAACCGCCATTTGTTTGTTTGTTTGTTTCATTTTACGCCTTTTCCCAAAAGTGTTTCAGTCATCTAGGCCGGTATAGTTTCCTAACCATCGTTCCTGGAGAGTTACACCAGTACTAGACGCTCAACTACCTAAGCATCTCCCGGGGATCAAACCCACGACAGAGAGGTAACTGGATAACAACAGCCATAATTTGTCGGGTTACTTATTCGTACAACTGAAAAATACCATTATCAATGTAAACTCAGTACCAGTCTTTAGTCTCTTGCTGGATAAACACAGCAAATTGCAATATTTTTGCTACATGCCATTTCTGATAAGAGAATGTAGTCTTAATAACAGTATATTTTCTTTTCTTTCCTAAACTGGTACTTGAAAGAATAAACACTTCATAAATGCTTTTTCCCGCGGGAGTTTAATAATTTGACAAAATTGATTTGTAATCCGTGATGGTCTGCCAGGGAATTGTTTCTGGTTATTTCAGATATACGAAAGTTAATGTAAAAATTAAAAAAAGCAATGCCAGTAATCCATCAACCGTAGCAATAATAGCAGAATATGGCATATGAAATGTGCTGTATTCTAAATTATATGTCAATGAAACTGTAACCACTAGGATACACTGACAGAATTCCTGTATATCAATATTATATATCTGTATAGCGTTATAGATAAGTCCATAATTGTGATGAGTGCACACAGACACAAAATTAATATCGGTTAGTTTATATTTAAATATTGCAATATTCTATTTTTCCTTCAATTTTAACAACAACAATAAATGCACTTGAAAAATAAACACTGATATATAAATTTTACCATCACAATAAAAACTTTTTATAAACAACCTAAATCGTTTGTCCAAATGATCCATTATTGCTGTAGTTCATTTTTTCCGGCCGAAAGTCGGTCTTTTTTTCAGTTTGACTTCCTGTAAAATTTGCAAAAAGAAATGAATATAAGTCATTTTAAAATTACAAAATGAAATCTGGAATCTCATTGGCTATTCTTAACGTAAATGTAAAGGATAATTTTTGTCATTCTGAGAAACACATGTAATTCTAAACTGTAAAGGATAGTTATCAGTGTGGCGGCTTCAGGGTTGCAGCCCCCAAAGTCAGCCCAACATTTACTACATGGGCTGGACTATTTTTATAACAGTTTTAATAATATTGCCATTATGAAATAAAATGTAAAGGGTAGTTCTAAAATAAAATGTTCAGGATAGTTCTTGAACTTTCTAGTAATTGCAATTAAAGTCCGTGTAACCCTACAAGAAATAATTACGTCATTGTTATGCAATCTATGCTAACATTTCTATATGACTCTTATATAACATGTGCAAGATAACCAGTTTTACTTCGTCCGAGGATCTTTTTTTTTAAAAAAGATTCTTCTTGTTTCTTCACCAGGCGCTTTCAATGTCGTCTGAAAAAAAATTACAATGAATTTTGATTTACGTCAATGATATCTGTTGATGAAAACTTATTTCAAAAAAACGCTCAACCATGTTTTATGCGTTTTCCTACGGACAATAAATATTTGTTTATTGGTACGCTTTCCATTGACACCATAGTTTAAGATAATGATCAAGTCAAAAACATTCATATAATGATAATGTTTGGTAAAACCACATAAATATTACTTGTTCGAGAGACCTGTCTTCAAACCGGAAATTTACACTCCTGTAACCTATTGAAATGTCCAAATTTAACATTTGTACACGTCAGATAACAGTCAATATTAGATCTGTAATTGAGAAGTTTCATAAACTGATGTAATTATTACTTATAACCTTTACCTTTCTTATATTTATTGATACATTAAAACATATCAAGCGCTACAAAATGATGAAAATATAGTATATAATATCACATCTATAGCTCGTTTTTTTTGTATTTTCTGATCGCAGATCAGGAAATACAATGCTGACATTCAACCTCTGGCACAGAATTTCACGACAAACCTAACAACAAGTAATTCTCAAAACAGCTTAAACTAGCGATGTAAAAGAAAGAAATATTTTTATTGTTGTTACAAGTATCCAGCAAATTACAACGCATTCAAAGTTTAAAAGTAGCGTTTGCTTATAGAATAGTAAATTATTATTACTATATTATAAAGTATTACACAAATAAATCTGACTGTCGAGTAGTGGAATATATACGTACATGTCGGACTGTATTGGCGAGAAGATTTCCGCTAAATTATTTACATCAGTGTTAAACAACAGGTTTATCGTGAACAAAATACCTCGAAATTAATGAGGATTACAAACCCGAAATGGAAATTCCAAATTTAGAAGTATTTGGTTTTATTCAGGCTTTCTTCGTACAACTTTCTTGTGGTGCAGGGGCAACGCGCTCGTTTAGGGTGTGAGAGGTCTCGTATTCAAATCCCAGTGGAGGTTTTGAAGTGTCTTTTTAAGGAAGTAACCACGATATGCAAGGAAAGTGTGCCTGGCTTAAAAAGTCGAACATAAATGATTTTTTGATGCAACTCTAGTCATGCAAAATTCCGAATGTATCGAGCTTAAACTGTTATAGTAAAAAATCTAAACGCAGTCGCTGCATCTCGGTGTCCTGGAAAATGAATTATAGTATATAAAAATAAACTTATGCAGGAAAATACATGCATATATACAGTACGATTAAGATTGCAATGATCAGAAAATACAACAGAGCTTGCAGCCCTTTGATTATAGTTTGTTGGCTTGTTTTGTTGTGACGTTCATGTACCACATCGACTCTGTATATCTCAAATGGCGACTTACTATCTTACCGGTGGAAAAAATAAAAAGGCAGGAGATGTAAGAAAACAAATAAATTACTATAAATAGAAAGTTATTTATGTTTCTTATGATAAAATCTAGCTCGACAAGTTGATATGTTGGTGGCCAATAACATTTTTACATTTTTCTAAACGTTACCACAGAATCATTGTAATGTTGTCAGTGTTGTATATATCAGACCCAAAAAGGATGGTCTAAAAGAGCTTTATTGCATTCATACAGCTACGCTCACAATCAAAGACTCAACAATAACACAGACACTTGGGGTTGAGCTTAAAACTGCTTTAAAATTCAAATAAAATGTATATTTGACAATCCCAGTACATATACTGATCATATACATTGTATATCAAAAACTTTAGTATAAGCCGTTTCAACGTCTATAATAATACACAAGATAAAAATGTTAGCCGGAAAAAATCCGCACACCTACCGTCAAAATCACCATGTATTTTATTCAATTTCCAATATTTTCACATAATCCTTTGGCCCATCGACACAAGATATGATTCTCCACGATGATGGTCAATTTTAAACTTCAACGTCAATATAGACAACGCAACAGGCGAAATAAACATCAAGATTATCGCCGTTTTACTCCACTTACAAAATCTTTCGGCAAATTCAAACTTGGCTCCCCAGTTTTGCTGTATACAAATACGCCCCGCTTTGAATTATGAACCAACATAATTACCTATAGCCTTCAAAGCGCAGCGCATTTGCATTTGAAAATGTATTTTTGCATAAAAATTCTGCACACAGGGGAAATTAATTGTAGAAGAAAACATGCAGAAAAGGATAGAGCACGCGAGAATGCATCGTTATTGTTTTTTGTTGTTTTTTTTTTTCAATTTGTGTGACACAAGACATCATGCAGCAACTGTATAATGTGAACGTAAACAACTTATTTTAATCAAGTACATGAAATGATTGTTATTTATGCATTGTAAAAATCTTACATTCATTTTTTCGAAGCCAATATATATAGTAAACACTCATGTTGAATAATATCAAAAAAGGGTCAAAACACTATCGTTACATTGAAAAATTAATCACATGATTGAAAGTTGGATAAGCGTTAGCAACAACGTTATCTTCTCAATTTGCACAAAAGATAATAGTCACTCGAGACGACAAGATAAAAAAAGAGAAGAGATAATAAAGCTCAAAAGCTTATCAATCACATCAGTGCTTGAAATTCATTAATGAAAGTCCGATGCGCGATAATTCAGTTTAGAAAAAAATAATATGAACTTTGAAAAGAATATCCTCTTATGTCATTGTCGGTAAGGTAATAAATATTTAAAACTAAATTAAGTTCAATTGAAGTCAAGCACGCGTAACAAAACCGGTTTGTCAGAAAATTGCCGTAAAATGTATATACGTGCGCTAATTATGCACATTTTAATAAGTTCTGTAATAAAATTAAGTGGATAATGATATCTGCATAAATGTGTTGAATCAAACCCCAACTTAATAGATTTTGGACAGAGACTAGCACACCTCTTGTTTATTCAGAGTTATGTCCCGGACAAAGTTCAAAGTGCAATAATTCGAAAATAAGGCAAGGCAGAGTTACTGCACTGCACTTCTACCAAATGAGATCTATCCTCCCATTTTGATATATTAACTAGTTTCTTGTTGATACTTCATGTAGTTTCATAGTAATGTCCCTGACAAAGTTCACAGTGTAAAATTGGATAAGGGCAATTACTCCAAAATAGGCAAGGTTCTTTTGCACTGTACTTCCATTTTATGAGATCTATCTACCTACAAAGTTTCTTGTTCATATCTCTTATAGTGTCAAAGTTATGTCCCGGACAAAGTTCAAGATGTAAAAATGAACAATGGGCAAGAAATCCCAAATTAGGCAAGGTACTTCTATTTCAAGTTATGGTTCTTTTGCACTGCAATGAGATCTATCTACCTACAAAGTATCTTGTTCATTTCTATTATACTTTCAGAGCTATCTCCTGGACAATGTTCAAAGTATAAAAATGAACAGAGGGCATTAACTCCAAAACTAATCAAGAAAGAGTTGCGACTCTTTAGCACTGCACTTCTATCTAATGAGATCTATCTACCTACAAATTTTCTTGTTAATACCTCTTATGGTTTCCGAGTAATATCCCGGACAAAATTCAATGTGTAAAAATGAACAAAGGTCAATAACTCAAAAATAAAGCAAGGTAGAGTTATAATTCTTTTGCACTGCACTTCTCCCCAATGCTATCCAACTACCTACAAAGTTCCATGTTGATATCTCTTAAAATTTAGAGTTATGTCCCGGACAAAGTCCAAATTGTATAAAATGAACAAAAGACAATAATCCAAAATAAGGCAAGACAGAGCTGTGGTTCTTGTTACTTTTTATTTCAATAATTCAAACATTACAGAAAGAACATAGTGTATAATAATTTTTTTTGAGAGAAAAAAATGAGAACCATGCATTAATTACTATAATGATTGGCTGACAAAATTTAATGTTAAGATTTATTTCCTTTCTGAATAAAAAATAAACATAAAAATTCTGACGAAGGGACAATGTCAGTTATAACAGATATCACAGCCTAGAAAATTAAAAAAAAATATCACATTTAAAGTATCTTGAACTGAAGAAAATGAATACAAAATTACAACAAGAAATGTCGGACGACACATATGCCCCCTTTCTAGCCCTTGACTAACATTATTTGTTTTTGTTATAGAAACTTGCCATGAATATGAATGGGTATATGGAAGTGTTCAATTATGGAAAAAAAGAAAAATAATGAAGGCTTTGTGATAAATAGTTTTCAAGATAATGAGCAGAAACCATTCTGACATTTAAGGCCCCTGTGACATTGACCTTTGAACTAGTGGCCCAAAATCAATAGGGGTCATCTAATAGTTATTACCAATCAATATTATAAATATGAAGACTTTGTGATAAATAGCTTTCAAGATATTAAGCGGAAACCATACTAGCATTCAATAACTCTGTGACCTTGACCTTCGACCTAGTGACCCAAAAATTAATGGGGGTGACTTACAAGTATGACCAATCACTATGAATACTTTGTGATAAATAGTTTTCAAGACAATGAGCGGAAACCATGTAGTTTACCGACAGATAGACAGACAGACCACCCGACCGACATAAGCAAAACAATATACTCTTCTTCGAAAGTGGGCATAAAAATACGTACTAAAGTTTTGTTAACGCTTTGCAATATCTTTGGAAAACATCAAGATTAATGTAAGAAATGAATTATGCCTGAGCATTGCTGAAAGCTGTGTTTAAAATGTAACTATTATTTATGTTTAATGCATTGTCTCTTACTAAACATAAAAAGAACAATGCTTCACATTGGGGTTTAAATTATTCAGGCTACTAACACTAGCAATTTTCATTTGAATTTGTTTGACATTTTGTGATATGAATTATTTAAGTTACCTGGCAACAGTAAACAGAATCAGTATTCCTGGATTGTTCCATTATAACCAAGTAGAAGTGAGTAATTATGCAAACAATTATCAAGCAATTGGGAATATAACAATTCATTATGCTATCTGTCGTAAAACGTGGACGATCTTTCAACAGCAATTAAAGCAACAAATACCTGTAGTTGAAAATTGTGGACGCGTTCTAAAAGAGTGTAAGTAATGGTCAAAGTACAAATGAAATCATTTGACAGTCAAAGATGAAAATGGATCAGTTTTATGGCATTCAGTAATCTATAATCTTGCAAACACATTATTCATACGTATTGTAATCTGTAAAACTGACAAAGTATACAATGAAATAATTTAAAAAAGCAAAAAAAAGACAAATATATATCAAAAATGGAAAAATACATTTTCATTTTAGTGCAAACTAAATTTACAAGTTAGCGACTAAACACATTGAAATAAAGAATGAATTTTTAGAACAACAAAACGTATGGTATTTATACTGAAGTTATGTATGTTTTGGTTTACCAAAATGAAATAGATGGCAATAATAAAAAGTATATACAACACTTACAGTGAACATTAATATTTTAAACTTGCTGATAATCTATACTTTTAGTATAATATAAAGATAAGCACACAACAAAAAAAAGCAATCAAGCATTCAATGTATAATATGACATCATACTCGTATGTACATACATTTTGTATATAACAATAAATATAAAATTAATTTTGAAATATTTTGTTTTCAACACGACAAACAAATCAAATATGCAATATGTAAAACAATCCAAACAAATCAGCACATTTCTAGCAATGATCTATAAATTTTCCTGACCACGGCGATGGCGTTTTCTCCTGAATTCTTGCCAATCATCAAATGACCCGGTGTAAGATGTTGCCTCTCCTTTGATGTACATGTACATTGATTCACCATAACGCCGCTCACTTTCTAACTTATGTTCTTTCATCTTCTGAAGTCTCGTGCGGTCAACCCGTGGTGGAAATTCATTTGGTGTCTTCATGCAGTCCAGATTTTCATAGTGATGTATCAGTTTCTTCCAAACGAACTGATCAGAAGATAGCAAGTTTTTGTTCCCTATGATTATAAATTACAATTAAACTAAATTCAATATAGTTCCTTAAAACAAATAGTAAGTTTACTATACCATTTACATTGATTCAACTTTATAACGTTAAAAAGTAAAAATCTGTTTATAAACATGTTCCTCAGATCACTTTTTAGACACCTTCGTTAAAGTTAAAATATAAATTCTTATTATGTATGATTTACATGAATGTTTGTTTACCTCTTCTTATGAAATGCATAGAAATTATATTGAAGGAAGCTATCGAATGCGTTTTAAAGATCCTGTAACATTTTGTATACGTTTAACAGAAATAAAAGTTATGTATGTATTTAAGAATTCATAAACAATTCCGACGGTCAGAATGTATGATTATATATACATGTATTATATAGTCATATGGTTATCGTCGGAAAACAATTTGATTTGTTTTCGTAAAATTATCGCATTTACCATCAATCAAATCGTTCTGATATTTTTTTAATTATTTACTTAATCTTAAAATGTAAAAATATAAACAAAAGCAAGACAAATGTTACTGCAAAGCATCATTGTTGCAGCACATGTTTTTTAATAGAACTTTTAATGAAATAAGATTATTTCATAATCATATCTAGATAATATGTACAAATATTACTTCAGAAAACTAAATTAGTGTAAGTGAACAAATTAATATGTGTTCATAGCTAAACCATTAATATGTTACTTTAACAGAACATGTTAAGTATACTGAATTTAGTGGTTTGATGTGGGTACAACAAATATTTAAATTGTAAATTCTAAGCTGCGTAAATTAAGTGAAACCGGTGCTTTGAAGGTCGCAGTGTAGAATTGTTGGGTGGAATTTTTATGAGATTATTGATATAATGCTCTTTTATAAATTAATTTTCAGGGATGTCTATTCATTTTTGTAAAGTTGGCTTTTGTAAATATTTCAAAATATAAAAAACTTAATCAAGACATTTTTCAACTTTATTTTTGATAAGGTCCAAAAATAACATATAAAAAGAACCTGGCCTATGAACTTTAAATACATCTTGAATGCACTAAAACGTATCGATAACGGTGAAACACTAATTATTCTGAATATCAATTTCGTTTCTATGTCACTTTCAATACAATTCCTAATATCATTGGTTCGAAAGTTGTAAATTTATAGTTTATTTTACAATAAAAAGACTTGCTGTGATCAAAACAATCACGCAAACGCAATATTTCTTGGTGTTAAAGTATGCAACTGCGTGTAGCCCGGGGTTCTATGATATCACGGTACTTAACGTTTATCGGAAAATATTTAAATATAAATATCATAAATGAATGAGATTTTTCTTCCATCTTATAATTGAATCTTTTCCAGACCTGTTTGTCAAAAAAATATTTCAAAAGAACCAATAAAAATGACATTTTTTAGAATATTTTCCATGTCTGCATATGGGTAATTTCAGAGGAGGTTACTACGGTATCAAGGTAATCCCCCAAAAAAGCAAGTATGGAAGGATAGATGGGTCAAAACATTCAAGTTAAGTTGTTAAAAACTTCCAACAGTTAACTTGCTATAAAATTAAAACTATATGAACAGACTATATGTCAGTATATGTGTTTATTACATATTTTAATTGACTGTGTATAAAACCATTAAGGAAAATGGTAGTAAAATATGAAGGTTTTATAAAATAGTTTTCTTGCCACAAATACATTCAATATTCACCAAATTAAATTTATTGGCAGATGAAAATGAGTCAAGTGTGCAAGTTTTACAAATATTAGCATCATCATGTGTTGCTTTTACTAGTAGTCACAGAAAATTTAAATACCTTGATATCATAGAACCCTTGATATCATAGGAACCGAGTATACAACCACGCTTACCTATAATTATCAGGCCCTTCCTTGCTCTAGTTAGTGCAACGTTTATCTGATTCTGGTCAGTGATAAAGCCAAGGTTGTGTTTACACCAACCTAATGTAGGGTTTGATTCTATCTTGTACTCAGGGAGAGATCTTACTGTACTGAAAATCACATAATCCCATTCCCCTCCTAAAATATAAGGAATGATCATTCAGAGACTTGTAATTAATGTTAACAAAAGTTAACATACAAAAGATCTTACAGCTGCATAAGATACAGGAACTTTATAAATGTACATATTTACATTTCATCATAAATACACAAACCTTTTTTTATTTAAAATCATATATTTTAAAATAACTATACATGATATATACTTGAATTTATTAAAATAACAAAAATCGCATATTCAAAACTTCAAATTAACTTTTTTTCAGATATTAAACAAGATTATACCTTGACTTGAAACTACCGTACTGACATTCTCATCAACATAACCATCCTCTTTCAGTCGTCGTTTTATTTCTGATACCTGTGCGTTGTACTGGGAAAGTATATTGACAGACTCTGTTGGTTGCTCTCTTGTGAAGTAAGAATATACTTTAATCTGAAAACAGGAAATTCACGACGGATTATGCTTTCAGATACAAAAATAAAATTCATGGGATTGAAATCAGAAAACAAGGAGGAATATGGCCGTAAAGCGCTCACTTGTTGACAAAATGGTCAAACATTCTACATAGTTTTGAGTTGGACAAGGTTTTAATAGAGGTCATTTTCTAGTCATGACTAACATCCACATCTTAGAAAAGATACGACTTGTGATACATTTTTCAAGAGAATACCTATTTTATTAAATTACTAAATGCATGAAAGGAAAATCAATAATTCCCTGGGATAGGGTCATTTTTTACCACAGCACAATAATTTAAATAATCTTTGTAGAGATCACATAGACAGTATCTCATCACAAATATCTAAGCTTTACGCTTTTATAGAGGAAGATTTTTAATGACAAAATTCAATAGGGGGAACACCCAAGGATCCATATGTAGTTTTGGATAATGCAGTTAACAGATTCAAAAGATATATTGTTTTCAGAAATTGTTGACGACGAACGACGGATGACGACGGACGACGGGGGATCACATTAGTTCATCATGTGCAATTTGCGCTTAGTTGGCCTATTGTGCTCAGGTGAGCTTGAGATATGAATGCACTTTTGAATAATTATAAATTAACCAATGAAAGTTTGCAGATCTTTTGTTGCGTAAAAATATCAATCAGAAGTATGTATCAAATATCAATAATTGAAAATATTATAAAACATTACCACTTCATCAATTTCAGCTATATTACTCTTGGATTGTTCATTTCCCTCTTCTGTTGACACAGTCAACACCTTTTCTTCTCCTTCAACGTGAACAAATATGTGTGGGTATATTTCGTTTTGACACCTTGGCCAGATACGAATTTTACCTTTACTCCAGGCACCAGGCATTGTTATCAGGGCGTTTTTGTAAAAATTTGCTGATGGGAAACGACAGATCTGGGGGTTCTATATAATATAAAAAACATAAAATACACATAACAATTATCGGCATATTACCTTATCTAATTGAATATAACAATATCACAATATCAATTTTAGTCATTTCAATTAGGTTATTGTCTGAATTTCAATTTTTTTTTCATGAAAAAAAAAAAAGAATACATTACAACAAAACAGTTTCAATGCACAGTCTAAAACAATATTTTTGAGACTATGTATTTTAATATGAAATTAAACTAAGTTAATTTAAAAGTCTAAAAGTCATACTATCCTTCAAAGTAATTAAAATTTTGCAATTTATCGAATGATTCATTAGTACAGTGGAAAAATAAAATCCAAAAGGAAGAAATAATCCAAAATAAATAAACCAAAATAAAACCAACATTGGTGGTTGAGCTGAATACTAGTATAAGCTTCCTTCTTGGCTTATTTATTCAAATCAATGAATTAGTCGAGAAATAGTCAAACAGAATAATTAGAAATGACAACTTAAAAATGATTACCATTCTATACTGCTGTTCCAACATAGTGAACTTCACATTGTTGAACTGTTTTGTATTTGTTACAGCATAACGCTCAAACAAAGACATCTCCATCCCAAGTAAACCAGCCTCCCTACACATTATGATTGGTCGCAGTTGCTTGTGGTCCCCTATAAGCACAACCTGTTCAGCTTTTGTGGCTATTATTGGAACCAAACACTGTGGCTCTGTGCACATACCAGCCTCGTCCACAATAACCTTAAAATTTACACATTGAATAATGTTGAAAGTTAAGGATGAGGTAAAATGTTTGTACTTTACTCTTTGTCAAGAGTCATTAAACCTTATGGGAAAACAATTTTATTAAGAAATAAACTTTGTCTGCCTCTAGTATATATGGTAGATCAATTTCATTCATAATTTTCTCCCTTACTCCAAAAAGGAGTACAACTATGTGAAAGTATGATAATTTAAATTACGATAGCAATAAAATTTATATTACCTGATGAACATTTAAAGCTTTTAACATCTTTGGATTAGACCCGACAGCAGTTGTGCAAAGAATAACATCATGTTTCCTGATTTCATCAATTGAAGCTTCTCTGACAACGCGTACATACGCTGCAACTTTCTCTGGCATCGGCATATAATTGTTTGCCTTGAAAAGCTTATCATATGCGTTTATCTCTTCTGCATATTTCTTTCCTTTTTGGCGAATTAAATGATGAAGGGCCACTGGGTATAAAATAGGTGATGTTTTCTGATTTCTTGTACTGGTCTTTGACAGAAAAGTTCTACCAGGTATAGGAAAGTCCAAAGCTTCAATCGACCTTCCATAAACACGGACAAAGTCTGGGCAATAATTACCCATTCTATTGTACATCCACTCTACAAACAATATAGGATATAACTTAAATAAGGACTTCATTACTTATGTACATGTACATCTTCGATAACAATTATACTAAAATGCATCGGTAAAAGTAAGAAACTAAGATTAAACAGACAGAAATGATAATAAACATCGTCGTATGCTAAATGCTTGCTTTTTTGTTTCGTCTTACTATTTTGTTATCTCTTGCTGTAAAATATTTAAAACAATAGTAACAATAGAAATGGTTATTGGTTATTTTGCCCGATTTCATTAAAACGTAAATTATATTCTACAAAACCTCTTGATTTCTAGAAAATTGAAATATTGCAGGTTGAATTAAATTTTAATATGATACAGATACAAGTAAATTTGTATCTATGAATAAAGGTTTTTAAAATCATTCCTTATTTCATTCAATGTTCTACGTCAAAGAGTCGATGCAAACTAACAAATGAGCTCAACAAGAATTCGGCTGACAAACAACCAGAACTAACCTGCAACAAGATCAACTGATCTGTTAGATGGTCCACAAAAAAGAACTTGTTTTCTTTGTTTTCCCTCTTTATGTTGAATGTCATTGATTTTATTAAATAGAGATACCAGTTTGATTCCTGTGTAGGTTTTGCCAGTTCCTAAATTAAAAAACGAAAAAAAAAAACATATTACAAAATCATAGCAGAAAAAAGATCTTTCAATGAGCAGTAAAATACAAGATTTAAGTTAAACACTATTCTTATTAATTATGCTTATTAATTTCGTTAAGTTGAGTATGAACTTGTAACTTTTCATAAATTAAAACATGAAATGTATGGAAACATTTTTCCCAGGGGTCCTTGTATAAGAAAAAAAGCGTAAACATCAAAGCTCTATCTATCGCTTCATTTTGCTTTCTTGTTTTTTGGGGGAAAAAAGGTTTTCGTTTTCGTGTCATCCCCCACAACCCTTGGGTATTTCCCGGTTGCGTTCAAAAAAGACTTGCAATATTTTTATGATCCCTTATCTAAAAAACAAGAAAAAACCATGGGATACCCTTATGAACCCAAAAATTTTCCCTTAAAAAAAAATTTTAAAGATCCCCCGGAGGGAGGGTCAATATAAAATTTTTAAATCGATTTTTTATTTAACGAAAAAAGCAACTATCAACAATTTTTATTCCAACCCTTCGAAAAAATTTTCTCTTATATAGTCCCCAAAGTTC